CAGCTGCTTAGCCTTACCTGTGTCCTTTCCAGTACCTTTTGGAAAGTTACTACACAATGCAAATGTTCTCACCTTAGTGTGAAATAATTTGTTGAATCACTTTCCAATCTGATTTCCAGCTGAGAACAGACCTCAAGAGGGCAGAAAATTGAACAGAGATACAAACAAAGATGTACCCATCAGAGCATTTGGTGGGAAACAATTCTAACTTGAGCAGAAAAGGAATTCATTGGATAGATGAAGATGTAAATGACTGGAAGTCACTATATGGCATAAATTGGGAAGCCTGCAGGACCAGGTTCTGGAAATGAGTAGGAACAAAGAAGGGATGGCAGCAAAGAAGCTGTATATAAAGGTCACCCCATAGGACATGCTGCTTGGGATATCACCAGTGACACTATTCAGTGAACACTCACCACCAGGACATCAGCCCTCATAGCCATACCTCTTGTCTCCACTGTCACTTCAGTTTATGTCATTCTTTTATGAGCCCAAAGCCTGGATGGGAGAGTCTGGCTGAACTGGTCACACTGCCTGCCCCACTTGCAGAAGCCAAGTAGTGAAAGGTTTTTCTGAACACAAGAGAAGACAGGGCCCAAGCTCCACCGAGTTTGGTATTTCCTCTGAAGAGGTAGGCTGCTCAGAATGGGCTGCAAAATATGGCAAATATACCCTATACTAGATAAAATTGGAGATGACACTAGAGTGGCTGAGCCTCAGTATATCACATATTTTTACACATTTTAATAATTTGCACTTCAGAGACAGTTCATGTCCTCCAGTTTTAGGGATGATCAAGCCTCAAAGAGGTCAAGTACCTTGCCCAAGATCCCACAGTTAAAAGGATGTAAACAGGGATTCTGATGCGACCTTGTGGCAGCAAAGCCTATGCTCTGTCTTAGTGCCTCTCTGGGGCTGACACAGCAAGGGATAAGGAGGGCTGATCTGGGTGTCAGATGCCTGTGTGCACATGGGTGGTACTTAAAGTACTCGTCTTGGAGAAGATACATTAGTCACCGCAGGGTGCCATATCAAAGCACCACAGACTAGATGAACCTAGACAACAGGAATTTCTGTTCCCCCAAGCCTGGAGTTTACAAGGCAGAGATCAAGGTGTCATAAGCCAGTCGATTTGTCTGAGGGCTCTCTCCACGGCTTGCGGATGGTCATCCTCTCCCTGTGTCTTCACGTGGCTTTTCTCAGTTCTGATTTCTCCTTACAGGGACATTGGTCACATTGGATTACAGCCCTTCCTAATGACCTGATCAACTTACTTGCCTCTTTAAAGGTTCTCTCCCCAAATGCAGTTTTATTCTGAGGGATGGAGGATTAGGGTTTCAATATATGAATAGGGGATGGGGACATAAGAACAACAAGAGGGTCCACACGGCCTCTGTTTCAGCAATCTGGTGAGTGACAGCCCCATCTGCCTTTTTCCCCATCTGGATTCTTCTTCATTTTGAGCCTCCTCTTTGAGCACAAGGCAAGTGTGTCCCTCTTGGATTCCCAGTACAATCGCTTTCCTCCAGGTTAAATTGTCCTTCAGGCAACAATGATTTTCTCTGCTTTCCAGCAGGGCTCTGTCTGGTCCCAGCTGCTGAATTGCCAGAACTGTGCTGGGGCATCTACACAACTGGGGAGTCCTGTGGACTGAATTATATTCACATGCTGAAGCCCTAGGAGTCACATGTTGAAGGTCTTTCTCTGAGGAGGTAGTTCAGCAAGCTTTCTGGTAGCTCCTTCTATAAAAACCTTAATCCCATCACGAGCCACTAATCTACAGGTAATGATCTATCAAAGACTCTCATTCTAAATCCAGGATGACTGGATTCTGGGATCTTGACATATCTTTTCAGGGCCACTTTTCTACCTACTACCGACCCCATCTTCCCCAGTGTATCCTCCCCACCAGACTCCCCACCATCTTCCCACCTCCACAGCCTGGGTTACTCTGTCTGGCTGTCCTTTCCTCTTCAGCCCTTGACTCAGAACCTGGGACTGGGTTTAGGCTGCAAGAGGTCACTCAAATATTGCACATTGTTCCTACAAGACCTTCAAGGCCTAAGGCGTTTCACTTTCTCAGACTCCAAGTATAAACTGAATGAACAGATTAATAAAGAGCATCCTGACTGGGAAGAAAATGCTTTTCACGTTAATATGAGTGCATTTAGACAAAGAATATTTACCCAACTGGCAATGTTACAATTCTGGAGACAAGTTCCAACAGCCAGTTGTGCCTTGTTAGGGATTTGTTGATTTCGGGTGGCCTGGATTCCATTGTTACCTACAATACCATCAATGTGGGCCAAGTTCCAAATACCTTTGGCTGCATTCAGAATGTGAGGAAGAGGGGGAATTTTAAATAACCCTCCACACAGAATCTGAGGGCTCCTTCTCATGCCCCTGCTCTTCTTTTGATCACTGAATAAAACATTCTGTGTCCAGGGGTGGCCCAGTCCCTGGCCAGTTCACTGCCAATGTCCGGCAGCTGCTCAGGACAGAGACCCCTCAGAACTGCATACAAAATCTGCCAGAAGCCCAGCTCCAAGATGCAAACCCTGCATCTTCCAAATTTTTCAGCTAAAAACTAGACTGGCTGTGAGGGCCACTCAGCCCAGCTTACCACTCTTACAGTTCCTACCCTTATTTAAACACAGGAGGCTGAGGCTTTCTAGTCCCTCCACCCCCAATTCTATTTTTCCTCCATTATAGCCAGAGAACAGTGTTTGAGGCAAAGAGGTAAAGAGCAATGCTATTTTTTCAAATAGGCACCCAGGATTTTTCCTGTGAGGTCTTTTCCTCTTATGGCATTGGGAGTTTTAACAAAGGCTGGGGATGTGTTTTATTCCTTGATCAAAGTCCAGCACATTCCGGGTCACTTAGACCCAGAGTGATGTCTTCTGCCTCTACTCCAATTCTGCATTGAAAGTGGGATTCTTGTTAGGCAGACTCCCACACACACTCCTTCCCTCTGCCTCTCAACTCCAAGAGAAAGGCAAGACTATGTCACTGGAAATGTGGTAGGCAGCAAGGTGACAAAGGAGTGGTTGCAATGTGGGTGAGGATGGAGAAGAGACACACCTGTGGGCTGGTTAATAGCCTCTGGAATGTGCCTTATGGAAACTGATGCAGGTGGAATGAATTCACATACACATTTGTCTCCACTCCCTCCCAGTTCCCCACTAAAGTGACAGAAAAGAGATAAAAAGGCATCAACCCAAAAAGGCAGACCATGAAAGGAGAGGCAGGAAAGAGAGGTCAGTTAAACGTGTAAAAGCAGAAATCAGATCTAGCAGTGATAAACTGAGCAACTAGGGACAGATGCCAGTGCTGTCAGAGCTGGGGTGTCCCCTGCTGCATTCACAACTGGGAACCCAGAAATTCACAGCACATGGAAGCATAAGGTACTTTTAAAGAAGAAGATTCTATGTAGCTGAAACCAAGAGAGTTCATTGAAAATCTATAAAAGGAGTTTCAGATCCCACTGTCCACACAGCAACAGGCCCCGCTTCCTTACCCAGAAGGTAGAGTAGGTTGCTGTGGACAGGATAAAAGAAGAGGGGGCCTGGCTCAGGAAGCAAGCCCAGGCCAAAACAAAAGGGGAGGCAGAGTCCAGCCCACCATCACCCCTTTCCTCACCGAAGTCTGAGCTCTGCAAGTCAGACGAACACCCTCCCTTCCCAACCCACAGCAAGAAATTAGAAATTATCTTGCTGGGCAAATTGACTGGTCTTTGTGGATGTACCCTCCAAACTCCCATGGAAATTTCATTGCCACTATGACCATATTAGGAGGTGAGGTCTTAGGAGGTAATTAGGTTTCGGGGTTCTGCCCTCAGAGTTGGATTCAAGCCTAATCTCCTTGCCTAAGGAGTAGGTTCTTCCATACATGTGGCTTTATAGTACCAGCAACCTTGCCAACAGCATGCTTTTTTCCCAAGGGGTGCCCTCCACCTTGACCTTGGGCTTCCCAGGCTCCAGAACTGTGAGAAGTTATCTCCTATTGTTTGTAACTTACTCAGCCTGTGGTTTTCTGTGAAAGCAGTAGAAAAGTGGACTGAGACACAGATTAACACCAAAGAAATGACTTGCAGCAATGACATTTGAAAGTTTCTCAACAAAAATAGCCACTTATTCCCTGAAAACCTCACCAATAGAAAAAACTTTGCATGAGGAGTTTCCAAGCATCTTTTTAGTCATTCATTTTTTTTCATTTTTTATTAATACATATTTGCAGTATGTAATGCTTATGTTCCTAGCGGGGAGCTGGTACATGTATATAACACATCATGATTACTTTTTTTAATCCCCCTTTCCTTCCCCCTCCCTCCATCTGTTGGTCCTCTTCCCTTTTGTGAAAGATGTATTTCCCTACTTCCTATTATCTCCTTTTGTCTTGCTCTTTATTTATATTTTGGGTTTCTCATATAAGAGAAGCTATGTGATATTTAAGCTTGTGTGTCTGATTTATTTCACTTAACATTATGGTCTCAAGGTGCATCCATTTTCCTACAAATCGCTCAAGTTTATCTTTTATGGCAGAGTGGTAACCTATTGTGTGTTAGCTCCACATTTTTTTATCCATTCATCTGTTGATGAACATATAGGCTACTATAATGAATTGTGCTGCTATAAACATGAATATACATGTTTCATTGTAATATGATGTCTTTAACTCTTTGGGGAAGGTACCTTGGAAAGGAATAGCTAGATTGAATGAAATGTCTATTTTTAAATTTTGAAGAATCTTCATAGTGATTTCTATAGTGGTTGTACTAGTCTACACTCCCACCAGCAATGTAAAAGAGTTCCTTTCCCCAGTCAGCCCCTCTAGCATTTGTTATTATTTGATTTTTTAATGATGGCCATTCTTTCTGGGACAAGATGGAATCTCAGTGTTGTTTTAATTTGCATTTCTCTAATGGTCAGAGAAACCGAGCATTTCTTCATGTATTTATTCAACCAACAGAGTAAAAAGACAACCTATAGAATGGGAAAAAATTTTGCCAGCTATTCTTCAGACAGAGGACTAGTATCTAGAATATATAAAGAACTCAAAAAAATAGACTCCCCAAAATAAAAGACAAGTGAAATGAACAGACACTTCAAGAAAGAAGAGGTACAGCTGGCCAATAAGTCATTCACTGTTAAAAATGAATGAATTCTGGCATTAACAGATAACATAGGAAAATCTTCATGAAGAAAGATTGGGGTGAGGATAAAAGAAAATGAGAAATGAGGTAGAAATAAGATACTTTTTAAATATCCATAATTCATTCTTTAGTGAGAAAAAAAGAATGACTGCATCTATAATACAAGGTCAAGGTAGCACAGGTAGCACAATTGGGGCTAGGAGATCACTCCTCCATCCGCCTGAATTTGGGCAGCACTCCAGGACAAAATTCTCCTTCCATTTTCCTAAGAGAAACAGAAATAAAAATAATAAAGACCCAGGAAATCTCTAAACATATGTGTTAGACCCCATGGCCTGAACTTCAGGAACCTTTGCCTCATTCAAATTCAAGTTTCATTAAAGTTTCACACATAGAGACCACATCTCATGGCTGTGATTAAACCAGAGTGAACTCTGGGAGAGTCACGCATACTAGGAATCCCTAAGATGACTCAGCAACCTGTCAATCATTTGTCAATCATATTCAGAGAGATCCGCAGGGTGCACATCTTTTAAAAATTCAAAAGCCTGATTTATATTCACCCTTCCTGTTCCTGGCCATCCTGGTACCACTTTTCCATTCATGCTACCTTTTTGTTTCTGTTGGCATAGACCCGCCCTGAGCACATCTTCCCAACAACTTCAATAAATGTAGCTGCTTGTAGTTCTTTGCTCAACATGCACAAGAGTCTGGAATCTCAGATGCAACACACAGTACCAAAGGTATCATATAAAGTGAGAAGCACATAAAAATGATAATACGAATTTTTTAAACTTTCTTATAAAAGTTGGAAAATAAAATTAAAGAAAAAATTTTAACAGAGGACATAAAAACAAGAGACTTCAAAATGTACAAAAAATTGTAAGATTCATTCACCGCTCTGAAGGAAGAAAATTATCAAACATTTAGAAAGGAGAATTTCCCAGAACTCAAAGACCTAAGTCTCCTGATGGAAAAGACCCACCAAGTATTTGACACAATAAATAAAACAAGCAAAATACATCAAATCTGATCATCTTAAAATTCCAGATCGCTAGGAAAGGTGAAAAGGCTCTCCAGACTCTTCTCTGCTTCAGGGATGAGCGAGCAGCACACTGTGGATCTGCAGATTTCCGGAGAGGGGAGCTTGGCACAGGTGATTCCAATATGTATTTTGTTAGATCCACATAGCATTTTCAAAGCCAGGAAATTTTATATTAAAAAATTTCTGGCTTTTGTGGAAAACTGGAGGATTGGACAACACTGAGTCACTTCCCTAAACTGTCTGCGGCTGGGTCCTGGGTCTCCATTGGTCACAGTGCCCAGCACACATTTATATTCCTGCCTGGCCCTGCTCCTGCTGTGTGGGCTGATGGGAAGGCTGTGTTGGCCTGGGTCCCCAGCTGGGCAGAGAGGCTCTGCAGTGGCAGCTTCTGGCCACTGCCTTTCTCCACACAAGAAGGAGAGAGTGGGATGAATTTAGAAGGTAGTAGGTCCAAGATACAGAAGAAGCAAGCCCTAAAGGTACTGGAACGGAGACTGAATCAGATGAATGCTCAAGGATTCAGCCAGGCTCTGCAGCCTTCCAGCTGGGGTCTTGCTCCTCCATTTCTCCAGCTACATGAGGGACAAGGCTAGAACCTGTGTCATTAGGCAGCTTGGGGCTCAGATGCTAGGTTTGTGTGACCTGGGCTCCTTTCACAGTTGGCCCTGGAGTTCCTGAGCCTAGCTCTGCAGACTTCCTAACTACAGAGCCCAAACGCTCCTTTTGCTGCATTAGCTGGTGTAGAGCTTTCTGTTACCTACAAGCCGTGGCTCCTAAACAGTGTTCCTGTCAGGCATCTCTGCAGAGAGAAAGACAGCTTGCAATTCCTGCCATGAAAGGAGCCCAGAGGCTCCGGCTTCATAGACGTGGGCAGGACTCATGGTGCATGAATTTCTGTCCCTCATTTTTTCAGGGGACCTTGCCAGATTACTCACCTATGCACATACTCTATTTTCTTCTCTTAAAAGTAAAGTGTAAACCAGGCATGGTGGTACATGCCTATAACCCCAATATTCTAGGAGGCTGAGACAGGAAGATCACAAGACTGTGCCCAGCCCAGGCAACTCAGTGAGATCCTATCTCAAAAAGTAATCTATAAAACAAAGGGGCTGGGACAGTACAATTTAAAAAGAAGATGGCCACCACTGCTGTGCAGGGTGGCACCTACGTCCATTTCCTATTTCAGGCACAAGTGGGCCTGTGCATTCAGCAGAATCGATTTCAGGGTACAGCCATCCTCCTGGGATTTTTGTGTCCCTCCTCCCCTACGTGGTGCTCAGAGGACAGTGCCTGGAGGATGCACTGGCAGCTTCTTCTGGAAGTAAAGACAGCCCTTAAAAGAAACTGGTGCTTTTTCCCTGGGCTGTTTACAGAGCCTTAACCCCTGTGTCGTGCTCCCTCACAGGGAGGTCCTCTCTTGATTGCTGATAGTCTGTATACTTTCACCATGTGTGGTGGAACCATGGCCAGACCTGTGCTGCAAGGCTTCCACCCCACCACCTTCTTCCAACTGCATAGGGTGCAGCTAGGCTGTGTATGCTTGGCCCACCCAGGGAGCAGCTGCTCCTCCCTGGCCCTCCAGTCTCCCCAAGAAGCCTCTGTCCTCCTGGCTGGCACTTTCTCCCAATGTCTTCTGCCAAGGTTAGAGGCATGGCCCTGTGCACAGCCCTCCCAAGCCATTCTCCAAGCAGCCACTCGGTGCTGCCCTCAGCGGAGCCCAGGAAAGGAAGAGGACAGAAGGGTCGTGAAGGGAGTGTGGCCTCTACCTCACCCTCTGACCAAACACTCGAGCCCAGGAAAGGTGTCTTGGGCAACCCAGGTCACTTGGAGGCACTGGAAACACCCTGAAGGCCTATGTGGCTAAATGCCGCTGAGTGGTAGAGGGAGGCAGGAGGGTGGAAGGGCCACAGCTGCCAATCTTGCTGTAAGGACAACCAGCAAGGGACCAATCAGGGATTAGGTTGATAGTTCACAAAGACCCCTCAGGGCAGAGGCTGGAGGAAGGAGGAGTAAAGATGAAAGCAGGAAGGCCAGGCCTGGTGCACACCTACAACCCCAGCACTCTGGGAATCTGAGGGAGGTGGATCACAAATTTGAGACCAGCCTGGGCAACTTAGCCACTTAGCTAGAACCTGTCTCAAAATAAAAAAACATTGGGAATATATCTCAGTGTAAAGGCCCTGAGTTCAAATCCTGTCCTCCCAGTACAGCAAAAGAATAGAAGCAGGGAGCCCCTGCTTCTATGGATATGGAAGACTCCAATGGCCCTTGAAGCTGCTGCCCTCTTGTGCCTTCCATTCTACAGGGGCTGAGGGACAATCAGTCAATCGTGTTATAATAATACAAGTGAATCTTACTATCAGATAAGCTGGGAAAGGACATGAGGATTGTGGTTCAAGGAGTCAGCTAGACCTGAGCTTCAGCATAATTCCTACCTTCCCTGGTGACCTTGGCTGCTCTAGTTCATCCTCTAGGTCTTGCCTTCCTCACCTATGAAGTATCATAACAGTGCTGCTTCACAGTTGTTGGGCAGATTAAAGACACAAGATAGGTAGGCCTCATTGCAGGGCACCTGGCTTGTGGCAGGGTGGTAAAATAGGCAGGGAGGGCTCACTAGCATTATGTGTGTTACTTAAGTAGATGTTATCAAGTCAATGAGTCCATAGTAAATGCTACTGTTTGTTTTACAATTTAGCACCAGAACTTCCTATCCCTCACTCTCCAAGTTAAATCTAGTCCCACTGGTGCCACCTCTAAAGAGCTCTCAGTCATTCACATCTCCCATCATCATGGTCCAAGCCTCCCACTGTGACTATCCCAACTGCCTCCAAACCCTCCTTCTCTAAATCAGCCCTGCTCCGTTTTGCTGAATTGCATCATTTGCTCACTGATTTTAGTGGCTTTCTGTTGCTCTTCAAATGAAACCAGCATCACCCAGAGATGTGGTGCTGTACTGGAACTGAATTAGATGAGAACTACATAGATCTTTGCCTGGTAAGTGAAAAACACTAAATATTAACTGTTTTCTCCTTTATTCACTTCAGACCAGTATCTAGACATAAAGTACTCAATAAATACTGGTGAAATGATGAGTATTCTTTGTCCTATATAATATTGTGGCTCACCTATGCCCAACAGTGAGCAGATATTGATGTTTCTATTCCAGGATTCGGCTGAGTCTTGGGTAGATAAAGCTTATATTTGGTGCAGAATTAAGAATACAGTTACTACAGAATGGTTTGGAGAAGATATTCTGGTTGTAGGAGGAGGAGACACGTCATCAGAATTTTCTTGACAGAGGATGATTCAGGAGTAAGTTTTAGAAGGTTTTGAAAGCCCTTCTGGCTTTTATGTTCTCCCAGTGGCATACTAAAATGGAAAGGTTGTCATGTCATCTAATTCCTTTCCTTTGGAGATTGCTGAGTGCTGGTCTTATTCTTAATATAGATGCAAGATATACAATACAATGATGTGGGTCCTATAAACATCTTTGAATGGTTTTGTATCACAGTCTTAAGGCAATCTTTAAGCACCTCAGCCTGTGTGCTAGGAAATTTCAGGGTATCTTAGGGGCAGGCTCCACTGAATACATTTTATGATAGAGCAGCAGTTAACGGTGAGATTCAGAAATAGTCTGAACTGCCCACATCTTGTTCCCAGCCTCAGCCGGGTGGGCAATTCCTCCGAATCATTAAGGTTCCTGGGGATGCCGAGACAGAGTTCTGAGTCATTAATTACCAGATTTCCATATATGTAGAGGGTCCCAAAAGATATCTTTATCTCCTCAAACAAAACTACTCTGGGGAAAAGCAATGGCAGCCATGCCCCAGTCACAGGCTCAGATAATAGTTGGTCTATAGTGTCAGACTGCATGGGTGCAGATGGAGATGGAGCAAACCTTCAGCTATCCTAGCAGAGTAGTGAAGGCCTGAAAGGTGTGTTCAATTTTTCAGGGGGAGCTGGGCGTGGTGGTGCATACCTATAATCCCAGTATTCTGAGAGGCTGAGGCAGGAGAGTTGCAAGTTCAAGCTCAGCCCCAACAACTTAACAACTTAGTGAGACTTTTTCTCAAAAATTAAAAAGGACTGAGGATGTAGCTAGTGCAATGGCCTTGAGTTCAATCCCTGGTACTACCAAAAAGAAAGCATCAGTTTTGACACTAGAAGTGGGCTGCAATCATTTACCAATCCCTTTTCTTCTGAAAAAAACAAAAGGTAGTCAGTCATCACCCTGGTACTTCCTCACGCTAACACCTTCTCAAAGTCTTTGCTCAAAATAAGCTGCTGCACTCTGAACCAAGTCCTGTCACCGAGCAGTTTGAACTAGCTGAATACACGTGGGGATCCTGGGGATGCTGTTGAAAGGCAGAGGACTTGTCAGGAGGTTTCAGTGGGGCCTGAGACTGCAGTTCAAAGGATGCCACAGCTGCCCATGGGAAGCTCTCAAGTCTGAGGTTGGCAGTTCGTTATAGGGTGGGAAGATCTGTCACAGGGCAGAGTCCCAAGAAGTCCCCCGATAGAGATGAGGAGCCAGTCTCACCCTACTGCAGGGTAAATTCACTGACTCCCATCACAGAAAAAGAATTTTTGGGACCTGTCAGCCAGAGGCACAGAAAAGATTTATTTGGAAAAGTGCACAGGCAAGAGTAGCATGCAGGTGTTCAGAGAATGAGATGCATGATAGTGTGTGGCTGGGCATAGTTATGGGGACTTCAGGGCGGGAATCTGTGGAACTTGTAAATCTAAGGAAAGAGATGAAGGGGTGACACACAGATGACACCTATCACTGGTGATGGAGCTGTAGCCTTGCATATGGGGAAAAGGCCTCTTTACAGGTAAAAAAGAGAATGGTCCAGGCTTAATGTGTCTTGGCGGGGGAGGGGGGGGTGACCTTTAAACTGAGTGTGTCCTGAAGCTATAGTTTTTACTAAAAATATAATTTTAAAATTATGATTTTCCTTGTCTCCTTTCTATCTTTATTTCTTTTATCCTACCTAAGAACTAAGCAGGATTAAAGCCTGGAAATGGTGCTTACTTCATTTCTAAAACCTTCCCTGCTTCCAGTATCCACACTAGTTTTTTTACACTCCCTAAGGCCAGTCACCCTCTCTGAGACCAGGACCCTAAAAACATGCTCACATGCTCTGTGCTCAGTGGTCCCCAGGCTTCCCAAGATGGAAATGACGGCTCCTGATTTTATTAGCTTCCATGGCTTTCCCAGATGCTTCTATTATTGATTTTTACAATGAAAATAAGCAAACAACTGGAAGAAAGGGAGCTTGTTTACATGCATAATTCTGTTCTGTTGGCTTTAAAACTGCTGGAATTTCTGTTTTAGCTCAAAATATCTGCTGACCTTATTCTCCAACTTCAGCATTTGAGGCAGACCCTCTGCTCAGTAATTCCATCTTTGGTGATGTTTGTGTTTATGTCCCAGACCTAGAATAAATAAATAACTACATGTTATTGAAATCACCTGTCAAAATACTCACTGCAGTTCTAGGAAACAAAGAGAAGTCTATCAGTGTGATAGCTCTCTTGCTTGAAGAATTTCAAAAGCTGTTTATCTCATTTAGTTTAGAAAAAAAAAAAAAAGGACCTGTAATTACTGCATTTTGACCCCAAGACAGCCAATTACTTCACAAAAGCCCTCTCCAGGAAGCCCAACATTAGCCTGGCTAATTAGCCTGACGTCACTCACAAACTGCTCTTATCACAATGCAGATGGACCCAGCCAAGAAGGGGCTGCCAGTCAGAGGCGACTGTGGGTGGCATTTCAGAGTGTGTTTTGTTTTTTACTACTTACTTTTATGGGTTCCTTGAAGCATGATCCCTTTCCCAAAGACAGACTTTCATCAAAAAGAAAGGTGCCTCAGACAAACTGATCTCCTTTATTGCATGAGGAGGAAGAAGCTGGGGGGGGGGGGGGAGAAGAAGAAGGAAAAGGAGAAGGAGAGGGGAAAAAAGGAGGAGGAGGAGGAAGAAGAAGAGAGGAAAGGAAACCAACAGTAGCTGTAAATTCTTCTGAACGTGGTAAATGGCTTTTTACCTTTTAGGAAAAGCGTTTGTTGTTTCAGCAGTTTGGGCCCATTTGCCAGTCCCCATTTATCCTCGCCCTTGGGGGTTAACTTATGTTTGGATTTTATAAGGCTGAGTAAATTAAAAGGAAACAAATTCCCAATCTTGTACAATTCTCTCCTAAAGAGCCAGACATCTCCACCGGGAGCCCTGTGAGGTAGATGACAGTCATCAGACCCCACCACACAAGGACAAGTGGATAGAAGATGGTGTGTCTAGTTCCAGCTCAGCCCTTAGCCAAGCCTGAGAATCACAAGACCAGAGGTCTGCATGTCCTTCACTTGGCCTTTAACCCCAGGACACTCCAGCAATTGAAACAGGGTCGGCACACCAGGAGGTTTTCAAGGACAGAAGAGAAATGGGTGATTTCCTTGTCCTCTCAAGGGATAAGTACAAACTTGGGTGTCCCCTTGCTAATGCTCACCAGGATGCCTCATAAGATAGTGAGATGATTATTTGGGTTGGGTGAGTCTCAGAAAGCAGAATGTGGCCCAGGTCAGCTTGAATCAGCTTTGTTTAGGGGTCAGAATGGTCTGGGCAAGCCTCTGGTGGTGTTAGAAGAAAGTATTCTGACACTTGATAAAACAGTATGGAAGACTTCATTCAGGACAATCACAATAGGCATCAAGAACCTTGAAACCAGAGAAAGATAGGGCTTAACTCTGCAGGCAAGAATGCCTGCTAGGGATTGAATGTGCTAAGCAGAGTACAGGCACCAGCAGGTAGAAGCAATAAGGGTAGAGTGGTCATTAATGCATCTAGTTAATAAGACTCTTACTAAAGGCATCCAGGGCATCAGTTACTGAGGATGAGGGTGAGGCATTTCATTATATCTCAAGGGTGATCTGATATCCTGGGTGGCAGACCATTTGCTAAACTGGGTTAGCGCAATCTTTGCAAGTCAGGACAAGGACAGGGCCCATGAACAAGGCCTTGGTGAGAAGAGGACTCAGAAGACATAAGCAAAGCTAAGGGGACAGCATTTGTCAGTGGTAGCTGCAGGAGGGACAAAGGCAGCAACTCTGTGGTTTCAACAGCAGAGCCAGATCCTTGCTGTGCCTGTGGCAGGGCAGGGTGTTGCTGGTCTGGGAGGAGAGGGCTCAGTGGTGCCCTGGCTCCCAGCCCATAAGAACCAGGAGTTGAGCAGTCCCAGAGAGGGAGAAGGGAAGGCCCACTCCTGTGGGCTCCTGAGTCAGAACCCCCCCACACCCCAGGTCCTTACAGACAAAAAGAGTCAAGGCCCTGGTGACCCAGTTCAATGCAGCCAGCAGCACTTGGTGCCCACCAGCAGTGGGAGGAGGGAATGTTTCCTGGGTTGAGACACTCCCATAGGAAGTTCCCAGAGACTCACAGGAAACAGAGAGTAAGCCTACCTATCTGTTCTTACTCAAAGGCATGGGGTGGGATGGGGAAATGAATAATTATAAAATGGGAATTCCAAAACTTTGAAGGAACATTTTAAGAGAAAATTACCTCATAAAGCTCTAGGCACAAGCACTGAGCTTTCAGCAGGCCCTAATCTGTCATACCATAAACGGTCATCTACATCTCTGCTCTTGGAGCAGGAGAGTGTTTACCCACAGACCTGCTAATTTGAACATTCAAAGTTATTTTTACCATAAATTTCATGTACTTCAACCATGGTAGTGCCATGGATGTGTGCATGTGTGTGTAAGAGAGAAAAAAATTTTAAAGTTGAGACTGTGGCTCTCTTAGAAGTGTAACTAAACAGTTGACACAGCTCATTTTTATACTTCTTCAACCATGGGTGGAAAATTATAATTGACATTTATCATTTCTACATACCATATATCCCTCCAAGTAAATAAAATAATTCCATCAGCCAGCTGTAAGAAAAACAAAAGTCGGGACTTAGAAGACATAGGTTCCAGTCTCGACTCTGCACCATTTGTGTGTTCTTACATGGATGTCTGCTTGGGGTGTTATTTTCCTGTTCTCTGAGATAGGGAAATTGTAGTGCATGATGGCTAAGGTGACCTGTAGTTCTTGCATCTGTGAGTTCATAAAGCACAAGTTTCTTGTTCCAGTCTTTCATGTGCAAATTTCAGACTGAAAAAGTTCTTAAAGGCCTGGTACGGTGGTGCACTCTTACAATCACAAGACTCTAGGAAGCCAAGACAGAAGGATTGCAACTTTGAGCTCAACTTCAGCAATTTAGCAACTTAGGGAAATCAAAATCAAAGTATTATTTTTACCATTAATTTCATGTGCTTGAACCACAGGTGAAAAATAAAAAATTAAAATTAAATTAAAATTTTTAAAAAGGAGCTAGGAATGTAGCACAGGGGAAAGGCGTAGGTTCAATCCGCAATGCCACACACTAAACAGTTTTTATAAACATGAAATTTTAAGGTATCTTCATCTTTCAGAGACTACCTTTATTAAATTTTCCCATTCAAAAATTTTTTCAAATATTTCTGAATTGTGTGAGAAAATGGTAGAAATTCTTTTCTATCAGCTCTAAAAATTTATTAAGCACTCACTCTGTAAAAATCACAGCACCAGATTATATAGTGGCTTCAAAAATAAGAATGATTTGGTTTGTTCCTTGAGTAACTTACACACCAATTGGAAAAACATGAAATTTGCACTTGTAAATCTAGCTAAATAATACAGATGCCAAAACACGGATCTGGATGAGAAGTGTAGCAGGTGAACGGAGGAGGCAGAGAAATGCTTGTCAGACTTCTCTTGGGGAAGGTGGGGTTGCAGCTGGATTTGACGGAGTGGGGAGAGAGTACAGAGGTCCCTCTAGGAAGAACAAATGGTGTGACCCAAGAGAGGCCGGGTTGTATTTAGAGGCAGACTGAGTGCTTGGAGGCAAAAGAGATGGCTGCAATGGGTGAAGTTACTTCAGGTTGAAAGGCCCAGATTTAACTGCCAACTCCACATTGTGAGTTTTAACTTTTCTAATTATTGCTGGCACCTTTTCCATTTTCTTTAAATCTTTTATTGTTATTTTGCTTAAAAGCATAGTGAAACAGACTCCTTCTAGGAGTTGAAAGAATGTAGTGAACAAAAGAAAGAATTTCAGGATGTTTGCCATTTTTTCTGGGTGTGACCTTAGTTATCTCTAGTAATGCTTTGTTTCTTATTGTGGGAAAATGCACAAAAAATTCTCACCATTTTTAAGTGTATAGGGCAGTGGCATTAATTACATGCACTTAGTTGTGCAATCATCGCCACCATCCATTGCTAGAATTTTTCAGAATCCTGAACTGAAACTGTATGTCCACAAAACACTACTCCTCTGGGCATAGTGACATATGCCTGTAAAGCTAGTACTCTGGGAGGGTGAAGCAGGAGCATCAAGCCCAGCCTGGGCAACTTAACAACTTAATAAGATCTAGTCTCAGAATGAAAAATAAAAAGGGCTAGAGGTATAGCTCTGTGCAGACACCCTGGGTTCAATTCCCAGAACCTCCCCCCAAAATAAACAAATGCAAACTCCCCATTCTTTTTCCCCCTCAACCCTGATAACCACTGTTCTACCTTCAGTTTCTATAAATTTTACTGCTCTAGACACCTGATATAAGTGAAGTCATATAATATGTGTCCTTTCATGCTCATCTTATTTTTCTTCGCATAACATCTTCAAGGTTCATCTGTGCTATAGCCTGTGTTGAAATTTCATTGCTTTTTAAGATTGAATACTGTTTTGGTATAGGTACATACTACACATTGTTTATTCATCCACCGATGCACATTTTAGGTTGCTTCACCTTTGGTGTATTGTGAATAATGCTATTATGAGTATGGGCACACAAAATACCTGTAGATACCCAGAGGTGGAATTGCTGGATCACAGAATAATTCTATTTGATCTTTTGAGGAACCATCATAATATTTTCCACAACTACTGCCCCTTTTTACATCTCCCTCAGCAAAGCACAGGGTTTCAATTTCTCCACATACTCATCAACATTTGTTATTTCCTGTTTTGTTTTCCTTAATAGCTACCCTAAAGGATGTGAAGTGGTATCTCATTGTGGTTTTGATTTGCATTTTCCTAAAAATTAAATCCTGAGCTGAGTCACGCGGAAGACTCCTAATCACCCCGCTGCAGACAGGCAGGTCTGTGCACCCCCTACCGAGGTCCTGAGTCGCCCGGAAGATGCCGAATCACCCCACTGCAGACAGGCAGCCACCTGATTCCACACTACAAAGACGGAGAGGACACCAGACCACCAGACCAAGGTACTGAGTCCCACTGTTCCCGACCCTGAGGTAGGGGCTTCTGAGCTGTCGTCCCACTGCTCCTGGTCCAGAGGAAGGGGCTTCCCAGTCACCATCCCTCCCGCTGCTCCCAGCCCAGAGGAAAGGGCTTTTGGGCCACCTTCTGTCCCACTGCCCCTGGCCCAGAGGAAGGGGTTTCCCAG